TGTGTGTGTGTGAGAGTGAGTGTGTGTGTGTGTGTGTGTGTGAGAGAGTGTGTGTGTGTGTGTGTGTGGATCGTTTGCATTATTAATGAGATGATGTAAGCTGTGCCCGCATCTGTTGGCACAGAAAGACAGCAGTGAAATGACGTCTTCTTGGAGAAATGTGTTTACATTTGGAAGATGCTTTTATTCACAGCGATTCACACTGAGTTCAAGATAAACGTGTGATCAGTTCATATGGAAGCCTGTTTCTGCCACTGAATAAAGAATAAAAAAGGTAATTGCAACTTTTTATGTGTATATAGATGGAGATAATGGTTTACATGCAAAGTATCAAATCACAAAATCAAGAGTGTAACATTAATAAACGCTCTTCATGGACATTCATTAACAATTCATTACCAAAATCACTGTACTCTTAAAATGCAAATTCATTTATTATAAATATTGGTTATGAAATATAATATATGCATAAAATGTTTATTTATTTATTTCCAGAATTATAGAAAAAACTAATTGTGACTTTTTGTATCATAATTCATACTTTTTGTTCCATTTGTTTTTAAATAAATGCAGAATTCAGAGGAAAAAGTGTGAGATAAAAAGTCACAATGAGCTTTTTTATTTTATTTCGAGCAGTCAGAGCTGAGTGTGTTTCTGTGAGTTCAGCTGATATTAATAACACACCTGATTCATACAGTACCTGATGCTTTGAGTAGTAAAGTCACTGTCAAACACTGTAATTACTGAGAGACACTGCTCGTCTGATCCTCCTTCATCTGTGTGTGTGTGTGTCATAAATGAGAACAGAGATCAATTATAACACACACACATGTATGTAAATCTGTTGCAGTTAGAGCTGTAGGAATGTTTATGAGCATTATACGCACACACACACACACACACACACACACACACACATACTCACACACACTCACACACACACACACAATCTTTGACCTGGTTAACGAGACTTAACCAGCACAGCACTAGCTCTGAAGCGTCTCGGGCATGAGCTGACCTCTGACCTCTGACAGCATGACCCTGATTATTGACATGTTTGAATCTTTGTCCTGCATTGAACATCTGTTATCAGTCACTGTGCTGTTCATCATTATCATCATCAGAATGATTTTGCTGTGTTAAACTCTGATGTGTGTTTTGGGGAGCGGAGCTGCGCTGTAATATCAGACTGCTACATGATTTATGATAGATTACATTCAGATGAATGATTCATGAGCTGAATAAGATTCATTACGACCGGAGACTGAGAGAACGACTCTTTACTGCGCATTGAGATACTGATCGAATGAAGTCAGATGTGTTCTAACAGACAAACACAATAAATAAATGAATGAGCTGCTCTTACATTAGTGTTCATAACACAAACACATCATGATCAGATCAGTGACTCTACTGACCTCTGCTGGAGAACATCAGGAACTTCAGTTCTGAGACACTCCAAAAATAATAGAAAAGAATAGAATTTTTTATCTACATTTTAAATTTTATGTTACAATACTACACTCATTCTGGCAGATCATAAACGGAACAAATAAAATGGAAAAAAGTTTTCTTAAAGGTTTTGGAGTGACATAAATGATAAATCCAATTAGAACTCTCAGAAATAATCGAAATTTAAAAAAATTAAAAAAAAGATAAAAAATGGAAAATTATAACCAACTTTATATATTTATCATCAATAAGTCCAGTTTGTTTCAATCTCATACATTTTAACTATTCACATTTTTTTTACTTAAATTTAATTGTTGTCGCAATTTATGCTGGATTTATGCAATTTGAATAAATGCGTTGAAAATATTTGTATTTAAATAAAAATCAAACAGATGCAAATAGTTCATTAATAATTAATTAATTGATTGATTGATTGAGTGCAGAAACTGATCTGTTTAATTTATGTTTGACTGACAAATATGAATCACATTAAGTTTATGATGCGATTTCAATTTTTCCTTTCTCTTTGAAGTAGGGCTGTGCAATTAATCACGTGAGTGTCAAGCGCATCTCAGTAAAGCCGGTTCTGTGATTAGCAGTAAATCTCCATCACCTGCTTTCAGATGGAGCTGCATTTACTACACAGAGCCGGAGTTCACTGACAAGCTAGGCAATATCGCGTTCATAATCAAATGCGATTCATCTGTGATTATAAACGCGATATTGCCTAATTGTCAGTGAACTACGGCTCTTCTAACACGCCCCCACATGTCTACGTCACTATGTGGGAAGATTTGCATAACGCCGCCCAAATGTTCACGCAAAGAAAGAAGGCGTAACTTTTATTCTCGCTGCAGTATTGTTGCTGCCGACATGTCATGAGTTTTGAGCAGTGTAGAGTAGCACTTGTTTGTAATTTCTCCGATCACAAATGCAGACATGGTTTTATGTTTACGCGGCGCCAGTTTGTTTCAATCTCATACATTTTAACTATTCACATTTTTTTTACTTAAATTTAATTGTTGTCGCAATTTATGCTGGATTTATGCAATTTGAATAAATGCGTTGAAAATATTTGTATTTAAATAAAAATCAAACAGATGCAAATAGTTCATTAATAATTAATTAATTGATTGATTGATTGAGTGCAGAAACTGATCTGTTTAATTTATGTTTGACTGACAAATATGAATCACATTAAGTTTATGATGCGATTTCAATTTTTCCTTTCTCTTTGAAGTAGGGCTGTGCAATTAATCACGTGAGTGTCAATCGCGTTCATAATCGAATGCGATTCATCTGTGATTATAAACGCGATATTGCCTAATTGTCAGTGAACTACGGCTCTTCTAACACGCCCCCACATGTCTACGTCACTATGTGGGAAGATTTGCATAACGCCGCCCAAATGTTCACGCAAAGAAAGAAGGTGTAACTTTTATTCTCGCTGTAGTATTGTTGCCGCCGACATGTCGTGAAGGCGCTGAGCAGTGTAGAGTAGCACTTGTTGTTTGTCATTTCTCCGATCACAAATGCAGACAGGGTTTTATGTTTACGCGGCACGATGCAATGCAACGCAACGCGTAAAAAGACAGTATAAGTCATTATAATCAGTAATTATGTCCCCACTGGATGCAACAAATGCCTCGTTTGTCCACGCATGTCTACGTCACGATGTGGGAAGATTTGCATAACGCCGCCCAAATGTTCACGCAAAGAAAGAAGGCGTAACTTTTATTCTCGCTGCAGTATTGTTGCTGCCGACATGTCATGAGTTTTGAGCAGTGTAGAGTAGCACTTGTTTGTAATTTCTCCGATCACAAATGCAGACATGGTTTTATGTTTACGCGGCGCAACGTGTAAAAAGACAAAGTCATTATAATCAGTAATTATGTCCCCACTGGATGCAACAAATGCCTCGTTTGTAATGGGTTTTAATGTTTATGTCTCGTCGCGCCGGCCGGACACGGCATCAACAGTATGTGAGGGGCGTAACATTTCCGTCTCACGCTTGAGGTATTCGGCCAATCATAACGCACTGGATAGCTGGCCAATCACAGCACTCCTCGCTTTTTAGACCGCTTTGTAAAAATCGACGCGTTTCAGCAAGGCGGGGCATAGAGGAGAAACAATAATGTACAGTATGTGGAAAATAATGTGTTTTTTTAACCTTAAACCGCATAAACACATTTCATTACACCAAATACACAAAATAATGTTATTTTTAGCAGCATCATATGACCCCTTTAAAACTGTGTAATCCAAATGAATGCAAATGCAATTCAGGTGAGCAAAAATATGCAATTCAGATGTGAAATATGCAATATATGCAAAAATATATAATGTAAAAATATATGCAAAAACATGCAATTCAGATGTGCATTTATGATAAAAAATTATATATTTCATGTTAATGTATCACACTTGTGCATTTATAGTACCTTCAGTTGTTTAAAATGTTTCTTCATTTTGCTATTATAATCATTAATTATTATTATTTATTAATAATATAATTAATAATGATAAAAATTATAATTATAAATAAGTATTATAATACATTTTTATATATTATTGTTATAATTGTTATAAGTTAATAATTAATAAATTGCATAATTTCTGAGAGAAAACATGTAGTTTGTGGCAAATATTTGCTACTGTGACGTGATTTGATGAGTTGAGAATATTCTAGAGATGCTGCGTGTTGTTGATGAGTTGTTGTTGTTGTTTGCTCTGGTCACGTGATCTCGCTCCTCCAGTAGAGGGCTTGTGTGCTGCGCATGCGCACTGCTCAGTGCTGTCAGTCCCCTCACCGCGTCTGGCGGATCTCTCGGGCTCTCAGTGCGGGTAAGAAATCATCAGCTATGAGGCAGAATCTGCGCTTTTGTGTTTAATCTGCTCCACAGGTGTGAGATTGTGTCGTGAGGAGTGTGATGTGTGTGTGATTTCCCTACAGCCGCAGTTGTGTGTGTTTGTGTGTTAACGCTGCTCGGCTAATGTGTGTGTTTCTGCCGTTTAAAGCCAGTGGAGATGAAGATGAAGCTCGTGTGTGTGTTTGAAGTGTAACAGTGTATGTTTGATGTGTGACGCGTTACAATGTTTCTCCGTCAGCCGCTGACGCGTCGTGAATGTTACATTGTTTCTCCCGCTCCGCTGTCGTGTTCTTCTCCTCTCGTTCTGTCTGTCTGTCTGTCATCACATGTGTGTGTTTGTGCTGAAGTCGCCATTTTCCTGCGCTCGTCATGGATGTTGTGTGTGTTTCGCATTGTGAGTTCGTGATCCCGAGACTCTTTCTTCTTCAGTCTTCTCGTGTGAATCATTCGGAGCTGCTGCACCTGTTGAATTTCACTTTTACTTCAGATTTCATGGACATCACTGTGTGTACAGTATTAAAATGGGTTACTGTAGAAAAATGCCGTGTTTACTTCCAGTTTTCTGTTTTTCTGCTGGAGTCTTTGCTTTCTGAATCAATGCTTTTGTTGCTTTCAGTAGCAAATCCTCAGAAAGGGTTATGATCAGATAACGTGTTCATCCTGACTAAAGTGTAGTGGGAGTTGTTTTATTTAGTTAACCCGTTTAATCCCTAATTTTCCCAGATATGAAAATATCCAAATAATGTGTCATTACTAGTAACCCTTTGAAATAATAAATTTTTTTTTTTTTGGAAAAGTGTGTGAAAAACTGTGGGATAATGTACTGAATTAACATATTTCTGCAGTCATCAAAATTGTTATATATCTTAGCCCAGCTGTTTTAAACAGTTTTTAGGGTTACTGTTATGCATAAAAAAAAAACTATACAACATTGATAGGAATACTGAGATAACCATGAACATATTTCAAAACTGTTACTTTTTTGTAACATATATCATCAAATTTTTATATTAGTGCTACCAGTATTATAACATCAATATTGTAACTTATTTGTAACATTTGAATTTTTTATTTAGTCCAATAGGCCTATTTTGTCATTGCAACATTTTAGTGCAATTTTCACTAACAACTGCAATTGGATTTATATTGTAATATCTAAATTATCCCAGCGGTCACTATTGTGACTCATACTCATTCTATGACCACACTCAACAAAACTGAATATATGTGAATTCATATATTAATACTAGACACCTTAAAGATAATGTGTACCAAAAATCTTTATGTTGACATACTTTACCAGCCTTTAGTTTTGGAGCTTTGATGCAGCATCATCTTCTCAAGGTGCAAACAGGAAGTAAACTGCTTTGATCATGTGACAGTTTGCACTAAACGTGACACTGCACATATTTCATTGAGACCCTTTATTTGTTCCATATTTGTAGGAAATGCACTAAAACATCAGTCAGTAATGTTATTAGAGCTTTATAAATGAAAACCGTCTTTACAGTCACTATTGTGAGCGCTGGGATTAAATGGGTTAATCATGTAGTTTTGTTTGTTTGTAGGGCATCAAAACCTCTTCATGTTTCATGTCAACTCATTTGATATGATACAAGTGACGAATTTGTGCTGGAATGGATTCCATTCAGAAATGGATAAATTATTAATTTTGCCATCATTACAATAAACTAGGGGTGTGCAATATATATCGTAATTGTTGTTTTAGCGATGTGTGACGTTATCGAGTAGGCTATATCGCAAAAACCAAACAAAACACACCTACGGAGTGCGCGCATACAAGTCTAGTAGGTTAGACCAGTGTGCGTGTGTTCTTTCACTGCATGATTCAGTCTATTCAAATGCATTTAAAATGATCACAAAATTCAAGATATGGGGGCAGAAAATGTATATAGTTATATCTTTTCATGTAGTTAATCGGTATCGCAGGAAGAGTGCCAGTTTTTCACTTCCAAAAAACAGCATGATTACAAACGTGATATTAATTTAATTCAACAGTTCAATAAACAAGAAGTTAATATTAAGCGACTTGCGTTTTAGACACCATATTGGCTGTTTTTGCGCTATTTCGACAACAAAAATAACTCCAAACACAGTCACAGCGCTGTTTTGCGTCTCTGAGCAACATGACGGTGTTTCGTTCCTGAATGAATCAACCGTTTAAATGATTCGGTTCAATCGCAATGACTCGCTTATTAACAGTGACTTGCTGCCACCTGCTGGCGGTTTTAATTTCACATCAGACTGTTACTGAAAACTGTGCTTTATGCTGGACAGTATTTATTTATCGCGAGTTGTTCAAATCGCGGTAATCTAATACGGTTTTAATGATAATTAAAAGATGAAACGGTAATACTAACCGTGGGGAATTTTGTCATGATTTATCATCAAACCGGTAATCGTTACATCCCTACTCCGAATTGCTGCTATTTGAAAGTGAAAGTAAAATGCACTCGCCGCTTTTACAAGCTATTTAAAAGGAAGAAAAGCGAGGGAAAAAAGGGAACGCCCCCGCGGTGATACCGGTATTACCGGTGTTGTCACACGTCGATTAACCTTTGGGAAAATTCCCTCACCGTCACAACCCTAAAACACGCCCCACATGTCTACGTCACTGTGTGGGAAGATTTGCATAACACCGCCCAAATGTTCACGCAAAGAAAGAAGGCGTAACCTTTTTAAGTTTCCTCTGCATTGCAAAAGTGAATTTTGTTGATACTGATTTAATTTGCCTGGTAACAGCCCAAAAATGTCTTCTTATTCTAATTGACTGATTAAAAGTAAGAATTTGACTCAAAAGATGATGCACACTCTTAGAAAAAATGGCTTTATAAAGGGAAAAATACCCATAAAATCTATTTAAGCTTATTGGAAAAGATTAATTTCTGCTGTGAACTGACCAACAACACACAGAATATGAAGAATATCAAAAACTTTAGGAGTCAGCTGTCCTTAAGATACCAGCACAATAACACGCTCGGCAAAATATCGGCTGATTATTGTTAGCGATAAAATCCCAGAAAATATTGAGATATTTTTTGTCAATATCGCACACCCCTACTATAAACAATTATATAATTACTGTTGTATAACTATTATATAGGCTATAATATGATTAAATAAGAATTATGTAATCAGAACTGACCTTTTGTGTAGTTGACAACAATGTTATTTTAGTATAATTGAGATACTATTATAGTTTGTATTAATTTTTTTTTTATCATTTTTTATATTTTCTGTTTTTTATTTTAGTTTTTTTGTAATTTTTCTCAGTTTTTTTTTAAATATGTCTATATAGTTTTCATTAACTTTATTTTAGTTTTAGATATTTTATCAAGTTAAACTAAATGAAAATGAGAAATGTTGAATAGATTAAATGAAAAAGGTCTTACTTTATATTGAAATAGTATAATTGAGATACTATTATAGTTTTTATTAATATTTTTTTTAATCATTTTTTATATTTTCTGTTTTTTATTTTAGTTTTTTTGTAATTTTGTTGTGTTTTTGTAATTTTTCTCAGTTTTTTTTTAAATATGTCTATATAGTTTTCATTAACTTTATTTTAGTTTTAGATATTTTATCAAGTTAAACTAAATGAAAATGAGAAATGTTGAATAGATTAAATGAAAAAGGTCTTACTTTATATTGAAATAAAATAAACATTAAAGTAACAACTTTTTAATGGTTTTAGTTATAGTTTCAGTTTTAGTTAATTATAATAAACCTGATTGACATCACAGTCAACACGGTGCTTTAAAAAAGATTTAAGGTTAAATGTTTATGAATGTAAAAGTTTAATTGTGTTTTTTTATATTTTGTAACAACGTTTTTTTAATATTTTAAACCCCTTTGAGCTTCAGATTCTACAGTGTGACAAATTAAATCATAAAAGTACAAAACTTTTGCATAATTGCTCAGTTCATATGCGCTCTAAAAGTTGAGTGTATAATAATAAATAAAGGATGATAAATGCTTTATGCAGTAGTTTCAGATGAAGTGCTTCATGTTCGCTTCTGTCATCAAGCATCAGTTTGTATAGAGGGATTCTTTTAAAGCGGATGTCATGTAGTTACAGGAATAGAAAGCTAGTGTAAGTGCATTAAAACAGCAGCATTGGCAGCTCGGAGGAAGCGCAGCGTCTGTGTGAACGGGTTGATTTAGTTAACTGGCATGTAATGGTTGTTTATGTAGATCAGAAGCGTCTTGTTGCTGGATTTTTACGTGCGCTTGGCTCATAACGGCAGATAATGCTGCTCCTCTCTCTTGTTTATTTGGATTTCTGTGCCAGAAAGTTGTTGAAATGTTTCCTGTTGAATGAATGCCACGCATCACTTCCTGCTCAGTGTGTGTGTGTGTGTGAGAGAGAGAGAGAGAGAGAGTGTGTGAGCGGGAGTGAGCATGTCTTCGCGACACACAGAGTCTCCATATAT